GGGGTTTGTAGGGGGCTCCTGACGTTCCAGGGCCTGGGGTCTTCGTAGTGGCCTTGGGTCTACCCCCACCCACTTCACCCATCCACCTGTATAAAGCTCCCCCGAGGGCAGCTTTGTGCCTACTTCCTGATCAGTGTGGTCCTGGCGTGGGGAGGGGGCCTTCCCCAGGGCTGTGCCCTGGCTAAAGTCGCCCTCAGCAGTGGCAGAACCTGCCCCTCCAGAGGTGAACCAGAGGGAGCCCCTTCCGTGCGTGCTGGGGTCTGGCAAAACAGCATCCCCTCACCCCTCCGGGGTGAGATCACCCCCTTGTTTCATCCGCCCCCAATCCGGCCAAGTTTCACCTTGCAGGGCCAGTGTTAGAGGTTTGAGGGTGGCATGCGCCTCCCTGAGCGGTGCCACAGTCCGGGGCCACTCACTGCACCCACAGCCTAGGCACAGTTCTCTCCCCGAGGAGCCAGCCCCCGCCAGGTACTGGGCTTGTCCCTCCCTAGGGCAGGCCACAGCCACTCCCAAGCCCTCCACCCAGCCTCCCCCATGGGCCAGCCCACATGCCATGAGCACCTTCACCTTCACCTGCGATGGAGCTCCCCGTTGCCCCATCAGGGTACCCCTGGGGGAACTCGCGAGGTAGGGAGGGAAAGTCTCCGTAACGCAGGGCCAGGCGGGGTGGGGGTGACTGTGGACGAGGCAGAGGGACCAGAGGAGCAGGAGCCTCAGGAGGCTGGTGGGAGCGAGCGAGTCGGGGGGCCAGGACACGGCAGGCGCGGGCGGGCGGGAGCGGGGGCCGCCGGACACCAGGCGCCAGGCCACACAGGAAACAGCTGTCCTCCCTTTGCTTTAGCGCAGGCCCTCACTGTGTGTGCCCTGTGCTGGGCCTGGGTCCTGACTTAATTTGAGGGACTCTGGGAAGTGAACCTGAAATCTTTCTCCCTAGAGCCACTGTGCTTAAACAAGAGGACGTGGCCTAACCACCGGCCCAGGCGATGTGCCAGAGGGCAGGCAGCCTGCTGGAGCAGGGCTGCTCCCGTGCAGAGGCCATGAGAGAGGCCAGCGGCCAGGGGCCAGTGCCCGGCCCGGGGAATGTCCAGCGAAGACTCGCCTCACACAGGCCTTGTTTCCTGGTGCAGAGCTTCCCAGCAAGGCCAGCCAAAGATTCGTTTTGCCAAGTCCCGGTTTTAATTTTCATTCTCAACCCCCCTGGTTTCACTGGCGGCTCAGACAAGAGCGTCTCGCTGAGGTGGGACAGAGGGCACCCCATTAGTGCCACTCCCCAGGTGTCTCCCCGGATGAGGGCCCAGCACACTCAGGAAGCCAGAGCATGACCTCAGGCTGAAGATGCAGGCAGCAGGACCAGCGGTGGGGCTCTGTAGACCCAGGCCGCACACACCCTCGGGGGCTGACTGGGGACTTTGGGCTGCGTGCGAGCACATTTCTGCAACGCCACCAGGATGATGCTCCCAGGAGGCAGGGGCTGGACTGGACTGTGGGCTCCTGCTGAATGAATGCATTGGGGGCAGGGTTGAGAAGCGAGCGGAGGCCCCAGGGCACTCCCCCTGGAGAAGGCAGGGCCTGGGAGCAGCCAGGAGCGCCTCGCCTGGGTCCTCGGGTCACAGGGGTTCATCAGAGGCTGCAGTGTCTGCCCGATACCACCACTCACAGCATCCATCACTCGGCTGGACAGAGCGCCGGGCAGGAAAGGCCCTCGCTCCCCAGCTCTACTGCCTCCACATCCTGCCTAAGAAGTGGGCACTCATCGCCCCTTACTGCCATCTCACACAAAAGGAAATGTGAGAGGACTTTGCAAAGTCCAAGTGGCTGGGCAGGCCTGAGGCTTCCCCAGAGAGTAAACTCAGTGCCCAAGGTGAGCAGAGCTTGCACTCATTTGGCTCTGTCCCCTCGCTGATGCCCAGCACCTGGCCTTCGTGGCCACTGTATTAGTACTTGCTGGATAAATAAATTTCCTCCCTCCCTTCCCAGTGCCATGGGCATCCCTGGGTGCCTCTCAGGGAGAGAGGCCTGCGTCGGGTCAGCCTGACACTGATGAGCATTCTGACAAGCCTTTGGAAAGGTCCAGCCTTTGGAGGGCCAGCCTGGTGCCCTCTGTCCCAGCACTGGCCTCGGACAGCCCGCCAGCTCGCGTGCGCGGGGCTCCCCCTGCTCCCAGGCCAGGCCTGCTTTGGCAGATAAAATATTGATCAGCCGGCTGAGGAGCCCAGAGTGTGATCCTATTTTCATGTCAGAAGCTGGTAATGAACTACATTTATCAAGACGGTGCTCCATGAGAAAGGTCAGCCAGAGACCTGGCTAAGTTGTTATGACACCTCATTAATCTCGCTCCCTCCATAATTGTCCCTCTTTGGAGATTCTGATGTTCTCCCATTCCAGCCACACTCCCTCCACGCCGAGGGAGATGATTATACCGGGAGCCCAGGCACATCTGCATTTAATTTTTTGAACAGGGACATAGGAAGCAGGTAGCAGTCTCTGGAATTAAATGTCCATCAAGGGAACATTTTCTGCTGCAAAACAAAGGGGAGAGGGAGACGCTGTGAATATTCATTCCATCAGCCATACACCCGCAAGACCTTACCTCAAAGGGACGTCTTCACTGTGCAGCAGGCAAGCAAAGCTCCCTGCAGTGTGGGTGGGCCGGGGTCTCTACAGAGTCAAGTGAAAGGGGGTGTCACCGTGTGGGCAGGTGAGAGGAGGGCTGGAGAGCAGAAGCACAGACTCCGAGCTGGAGGCCCAGATCCTACACACAGGAGGTGCCAGGAGCTGGAGAGGGGAGCCTGGGGACACGTGCCCTGGGAAGACAGGGGCCCGGCTGTGCCTGCCTGTCCTCTGTGCACCCCCAGCCATCCCTGCACCCAGTCCATAGGGCCCCATGCCTGTGCCTGTTTGCTCCTGCGCTCCTGGCCTCGCTCTGTGACAAAGCCATGCAGTGCTGGTGTCGAGCGCCCCATTGCACCGCGAACCCCTCTAGGCCAGGAGTTTGCCTTGTTGCAGGTGGGTGCGGGGCTGTTGCCAGGAGGAGAAGCAGGAGGCCTGTGCCCTCACGGTGAACTGTAGGGGCAGAGCTGGGGACGGGGGCTGCAGCCCACCCATAGGCCCCCTCCAGGTCTTCCTGGCCCGCCGGCGGGCGTGGGAGATACCATCTGGCTGCAGGCTCCTGGCCCGAAACAGCTGGCAGCTCTGGGGTCCATGCCCCACCAGGATACGGGAGGAAGGTTGGGAAGGTGGGGTGGGGGCAGCACGGCTGAGGCTTCCCCGCTAACCCAGCCCAACGTTGCCTTCAGGAGTCCCGCTGGGGCGTGTTCTGGGAGACAGCGGTGCCCTGGCATTTTTAAGCTGAGCCTCCTAGCGACCCCATGTGCTGTGTTCGCTGCCCTGCGGCACCTGGGCACAAACGCCAGCCCCAGGGGAGCCTAGCAGACCCCTCACCGTCACCCCACAGCCTCACCCCACAGCTTCCATCTCCTCCCTGCATCCCAGCTTTGGTCCTTTTGCCAGCACCCCATTTCACTTTGCTGGGACTGGGGGTGGGGTCCTAAAACCGACACCCAGAGGTAGCCTCCTCTCCCCCTGGATGGAGCAGTTTGGGGGGGCAAGACCCGGCACTATTTTCAACAAGTGCAGGTGAACTGACTGGGGAATCGGGTTTCCCGGCTGGGGGTCCTATGTGCCCCCAGGAAGCGCATCCTAGGGCCAGAGTGGAGGCCGGCACTTTTGGGGGCTGGGGAGCCATTCTTGGGAGACCCTGGAGACTCCCAGGGAGCAAATAGATTTGATTACATTGAACACAGCAATTGATTTTTTTCTAAATAAACATGGAGGAGGAAATGGTCGCAGCATCTGTTTCTGACGAGAATCAGTTGACCCCAAATTGGAAGAAACTCTAGAAACAAAACAAGCACAGGAGAGAGCGGGAGGCTGGCCCGGCCCAGCTTGTCTGGCAGAGGAGAGCGGGAAACAGGGACGTCCCACCTAGTAGCCTCCGCTTCGTTGTTCAGCAAAGGCAGTTCCGAAAATGTAAATGGGCATGCAGCTGTCACTCCTGAGCCTTTACTCGGTGCCCATCCCTGGCATGCCCAACTTAGTTAACCCCCAGGGCAGCCCTGTTCTCCCCGCTTCTCCGGCGAAGCTCCGAGGCCTGGTCCCACATTCAGGCAGCGGCAGAGCTGGGACTCAAACCCGCCGGCTCCGGGACCTGCTTCCGGCCGAGTCTCCCGCGCTGGCCCTGGCCAATGGGAAGAGCCCCAGGCCTGGACAGTTCACCCCAGCTGTCTTTTGGCCTTCGACCTGGAGGGGGGCCATGTCCACCCCCAGTGCAGGAAGCACCCCAGCTGCCAGACAGGCGGAGCGGGGCCGTGGAGGGCCCAGCCTGCCCACTGTCATCCCGTAGCCTCAGCCGACAGACCAAGACCTGCTCGGGGCCCATCCTCGGGGCCCGTCAGGGCATCACGGGCCCCATTTGCCAGCACACCATGCGGCCCCGACGCTGCTCGGCTGGGAGAAGGTCCAGGCGGAGAGCACCGCGTGCCTTGGGCTTCATTTCCAGTGGCTGCCTCTTGCTGTTTGGCCCTAGACTTTGTGTATACACGTTTGTTTTGAAGTAATTCAGCCCCGGGAGTGTAGCTAATTAACTTAAGCAGGGCTTATTAGTCCTGTTAACTAAAACTCCCTCATCTACAAGGCCAAGTATTCAAAAGGCACCTCTAAGGGAGGGTTGAAACAAAGATGGGCGGTTATAAATGCAATTGGGGCCAGCTTTCCTGAAGGCACTGGGGGCTGCAGCTGTGAATCCCAGCCCATCTGGCAGGCAGCCCTTGCCTGGCATGTAGTAGGTGCTCACTAAACATCGAGGAGGTAGTTGTGTTGCAGGCCCCATCTGCTTCGCCCCTTGGGGCGCTGAGTGTGATGGGTGAGCAAACCAACGGAGGGAACATTCTCTCAAGACCAAGGGGTACGCATCACTGCAGTAACCCCATCTTCTTTTGCAGGTGACCCTTGCACGATGGCCGACTACGCCCGCCTGAAGAAGGTCCTTCTGGCCCTGCAGACCCGCCTACGGCCGCTCCAGGAAAAAGACAGCGCGCAAGACCCACCCTCCCGGAAGCGCCTGCTGGTGGAATCTCTGTTTAAGGACTTGGATGCTGATGGCGACGGCCTCCTTGGCAGCTCTGAGCTGGCTCAGGTGAGTCCACGTCGCAGGAAAAGAGCATTGTGGAGCAGTGCAGCGTCCCACTGAGCAAGGAGGTGAGGAGAATCCAGGACAGCTGGGACAGCTGCAAGAAGAAAACTTCCCCCACCCCACCCCGCACCCCGACTCTGCTCTTCATTAGGAAGTAACCCATCCTGGGGTCCTTCACTCTCAGCAGGTCAGCAGGGCGGGGGAAAAGGAGGAAGTAGGGTTTGGAGCTGTGACCCAGGCATCCCAAGTCCCCTCTCTTGTGATGCCCGCATGTGGTAGGATCCTGCTGTGACAACCCAAACCCCAGCATGGGGGTTGCTTGCCCACGGGAAACCCTGCGTTCCATCTGGAGCGCCCCTCCTCTTTGGGGAAGACGCCTGGGCTGGGCCCCATTTGGCCCCCTCTCCAGACGCAGCACCATGTCCTGTGTCAGGCTGTGAAATGCAGCCAAGAAACTTGGTGTCTGCAGCAGAAAGAAGCAAAGGAGGAACCGCCCGGGGCCACCACGCGTGCCTGCAGGCCGGAAGACTCCTGGAGCACCCTCGGGCAGGTGCAAAGACAAACCGGGGGCCTGGGGCACAGCAGCCCCAAACCCAAGCAGAGCGGCGAGGTGGGGGCAGCTCACCCCAGACAGCATGGTGGCTCCCACCATCGACAGGCACAGTGACCTCACCGTGGCAGCTGGGTGACTAGGAAGGGTTGGGCTGAGGAGGGGCTGGCATTTAGGAAACGTCCGCCTTGTGCGTGGTGCCAAGCAGAGCCCATAACCTGTGATGGCACAATACAGGAAATACGCCTGCGAGGTGGCTTGCAGCATAGTTCCTGGTCACACAGCCTCGGTCCAAGTCCCGCTGCTGCACCTACTAGATAGTGGGCCTGGGGCCATCCTCACTTCCCTGCCTCTGCGTCCTGTCGGTGACCCTGAAGGTGCGTTCCCAACAGGTGGCTGTGGTTGCATCGTTATCCTCACCTTTATTGTAGCTATCGTGGTTATTTTATCCCGAAGCCCCTCCAGCATTCTCTGCTGTGCAGCCCGTACTGTGGCCACTGGTTCACAGGCATTTTTAGAGCAGGAAATCAAGTTGCCTGCAGAGTGTTCACAGCGCAGGGTGCCGTGGGACTGAGGGGCTGACATGCGTGTGTCTGCTCTCCTCGCGGCCCAGATGCCTCCCACCAGGAGGCTGCCCCAGTGTGTAGGGAGGGTGGAGCAGTCACCTGAGGGCCCCTCGTCTGGGCTGGGCAGTGCCAGCCCCAGTGTGCTTGCTGGGAGCCAGACATGAGGCAGCAGTGCCGGTGCCCCGCAGGAAGCCCACCTGGCGACCTCACACAGTCCGGGGCGCGGGGAGCCTGAGTGTGGGCGGCTGGGCCGGCCAGCTGTGGGCTCTCGGCACCCCCGGCCCATGGGGTTCCTGGGTAAACAGAGCCTCCCTGGGCACATCACTCTAACCTGGCAGATGTGCCCCGAGGCACCTGAAGCCATTAACAAGCATGGTAATTGGACTATGATTTCCTCTTTAAAATTTAATGTATTTAAAATCCATTTCATAAATCTGCCAAGCAGAGCCCCGCTAAAGTGGGTCTTTCCTTGACACTGAATCAAAGACGTCAGGGAAAAAATTGTCAGCCCTGTGAAAAGTTAATCAATTTCCAATGCAGATATAGACAAAGGGAAATTTCCGTCCTCGGAAGATTGATTCCCAGCGTTATGGCTGATCTCCCTTTTATCGAGCACGCTCACTTGCCGGGTGAAGGGTCATTTTTTTGTTAACATTATGACATTAAATTGCCTTTAAGATAGCAGGCCAAGTTGAGACTGTTAAATAAAGAAAAACTGCCTCGGTTCCTCTCGCCCCCTCCAAGATAAATAAATAAATGAAATCATTTCCTTCTGAGCGTTGCCTATGTAAGACTCCAGTTCCCGTCATACCGATCCCTGACTCCAGCTGAGAGAGGTGCCTGGAATTTTCACTTTTGATCAACTTGCAGCCCAGGCCGTAGAGGGATTCACACATGGCCGCAGGCCAGAATCCCAAGGGCGGCTATTTTTGCCCCTGCTAGGACAGGCAGGCAGAGGCGGGGGTCAGGCGTCAGACAGTAGAATGGCAGCTGCCCTTTCCTGGGGGTCGGCTGTGGCTAAGAGGTGCTGCTCTGAGGCGGAGCGGGTGGGATGAGAAGGGACTTGACGGAGCCGTGAAGCAGTGACCTTCCTGTTCAGCACAGCTGGGCGCCGGGGACGGCAGTCCCCACGCTGCACTCAGCAGCTCTCTATTTACTGGGTGTATTCCGGCAGACCCCTCTGCCTTCTTCCCCTTCCACAGCATGAGGTAGACCAGGTGGCCTTGGGGGTCCTTCCCATCTCAGGTGTCTGGACTCTCTCTGCCCGGATGGACAGAGCACTGTCCTGAACTCGAACCCCAGCTCTGCCCTATCACCCCCGTGTGACCTTAGGAAATTCCCTCTCCCTCTCCGAACCTGTTTTCTCTTCTATGAAATGAGGCAAAACCAAAGAGAGCCAGGTGCTGCCCATGGAGCTGTGGCTCGAATCCTACCCCTCGGGGGGTGACCCCCCACCCACTTTTCGTGGCCCGAGCCACCTCCCACCGAGGCCCACACTCAGCTCTGGCCTTTATTCTTCCCAACTTCCCTGCAGCACGACCTCAAGGAGCAGGACCTGGACGAGGACTTCCTGGGGTGCTCGCCTGGCGACCTTCTACGCTTCGATGACTACAACAGCGATGGCTCCCTGACGCTCCCCGAGTTCTACACGGCCTTCCGTAAGTCAGGCCTCTCCAGGTCACCCGCACTCCTGCCGCTCTGGCAGGAATTCCTGCACCAGACTGCGCTCAGGGTCTGGAGTCCGCCCTCTGGGTTTGGTTCATGCGTCTGTATGAATACAGGCGAAGCTGCTGATGTCCTGTTGCAGCGAGACTGAGCGTTGGCGGTGGGGGGGGGGCCAGGCCAGGCCAGGCCAGGCCAGGGCAGGGCAGGGCAGGGCAGGGCAGGGCAGGGCAGGGCAGGGCAGGGCAGGGCAGGGGGGGGGAGGGCAGGGGAGGCTTGCCTGAGCTGCTCCTTTCGGTAAAGGCTCTCCTCACTGTGCTTTAGGGACCCAAGACTGAGATTTAAGCGTGACTAAGAGGGCTCTGCTGGGTACCATGTGGGGATTCCATGATACAGGACGGAGGGGGCAGATTTGGGGGTAATCCCGGTCTCAGGCCTGGGGAGCTCTGCTTGGGGTAAATCCTGTTGGAGGGTTCAGGAGGCTTGGCAGGAGGTGGGACAGTCACTATCAGGGGCGATGGGGACTGAGGGTCCGGGTCTAGGAGATGTGGTGGAATCCATACTGAAGAGAAGAGTGGGTGCGCTGTCTGAAATGGGGAGTTCTCTGTGGGGTGCTCACTGTGAGTGGATGGAATGACTCGGGGCCTGGGTCTTTTCCTGAGTTACTCTTCCATCGTCAACCGCCCGTGGAGGTGGACAGGACTCGGAAGCATTCGCGACACAAGAGGAGCCCCAGAGGGCTCTGGGAGGGCCAGCAGGGAGGAGAGGGCAGGGCGGAGCTGGGCGCAGACCCCAAGCGGGAGGAACATTCTCGAACCTGTGGCAGCGTTCGGGCTGTGCTGAAATCGCTAATGTGTGCTACGCCGGCACACGGCCTGCAGGTGCACGGGCCGCACCGAGCCTCTGAGGCCCAGACCTGCTTCCCTGGCCCTCCGGCGTCCTCCTGGAGTGGCATTTCTCCGGCTTCATGTTCACATCTCGTTGTGTGGCTGTTATTCCACTGGGAAGGAGTCCTTGCAGATCTCTGGCCAGTAGTGCTCTCACGGCAAGCAGAAGAGCTCCCTGTAGAACCTGAACAGGTGGGCCTTCCCTGTGGGAAATGTCTGTGAGCCTGGCACAGGGCAGCCAAGGACCAAAGCCCCACCCAGTCACCAGCCCTTCCTGTGACACTGTGACCAGGGGTGCCCCCTTTCTCTTCCTCCCCACCCCAGGAAAGCTCCTGTTATATGCAGGCAGGGCCTCGCCTGCTGTGGCAGGTGTCTGCTTTATAGGTCAAGGTGCTGATTCCCAGAAACATATCTTTTAAGTTTTTGCATGTGTGGAAGAATCACTCATTCCAGCTGGCTCATGAGAACCAACTGTAGACTTTGAGAAATTTTGCAAGACGAACTATAAAGTAATGGGTAGTTTTAAATTGGCCACGGTAGAAATTTTTTTTTTCCAAATATTTACTTATGTATGCATACAGAACTGGGGTACAGACCAGAAGTGGAGGGGAGGTGAGGGGATTCAGCAGAAGCAGAGCTGGGAACAGAACAGGCAGATCCGCGAAGTACACCGCTGAGTCTGGAGAGATCTGCTGCACTGTAGAAGTTTCTAATACCATACATACCCACACAACCAAATGCCACCAAGAAAGTGGGGGTCGGAGGGACTGTTTTCCTCGGGAAAGCATTTGTTAAGCTTCGCATCTGACTGGACAAGCCCCTCCCCCGTCCTTAGCCCCGCCTGCGGCAGCCCTTCCTCCCACCCTCCCCACATGAGGACATAGGACATGAACAAAGTCAAGGGGGGTGAGGGCAGCACAGATGAGAGGGTGGCACCCCCCCCCCGGGGGCAGGAAGGCCGCAGCCTGTGTTCTGGGAGCCACTGTGGGAACTGACCAGCCACTCTCTGGGGGCAAGCTTTTCTGCAAAAGGCACTGTGAAATGAAAGGTCGGTGCATTTTAAGAGCCAGGGACCAAGGCCGGGCTTCATGGGTTTGGGGGATCCATGGCATCACGACTCGTGAGTCCCGCAATGGCACCCTTGAGCAGAGGCGGGAGCTGCCTCGTCTCCCCGGGTCCTGGCCCCGCAGAATCCTCCGCTGGTGAGCTGGTTCCCGAGAATGGATCTGGAACCAACGGGAGGCTTTAACTTTCGAGAACTGGAAGCCTCGCTGTTGTTCATGAGAGGGCCCCCAGCCCCCGGTAGAAGGTCGTGACAAACCTGAGCAGCCGTGCAGGAGGGGCGCCGTCGCCTCCCCCCAGCACATGTCTCCCTGGCAGTGTGGCTCTGCTTCCTGCATTCCTGGGCTGTTTGAAAGGCCTCGTCGTCATTGTCGTCGTCATCATCATTTTTAAAGCAAATTAGATTCTGCTGCTGCCTTGGACCTGTTCTGACCCAGGGAGCTAAACCATTCATCACAGCCCGGCCCAAATAATCGCCTCGCACTAACATGTAAACCTGCAGACACTCAGGATCAGTGGTTTTTTCAGAATCAGAGGAACGCTCGCCAGGGCTCCCAGCGCCCTGGGAATGAATGAACGTTGGAACAGGTCCTCGAGATGAGACACACAGGTACAACTTACTGCCCAGAAATCAATGAACATCAAAGAAGTCTCACTAAAACTCAGAAAGTAATACCTCAAACATTTCAGCTACAACAGTTTGGATTTATTCTTATAAACCAGAGCTGGGGCCTGACAAAGGTGGCAGCTTTAAAACTGTATTTTCCAGTCTCTGTTCTGCCAGGGTCCTCGGACATAAAGCAAGCGGGGCCCGCGGGGGGCTCCCGGTGTGGACTCGCGCGCTTTATCCAGTCGGGGCGTGGGCCCTGGAGGAGCGTGCTGTATTTACAGGCCTGGGAGCAGGGGGTTCGGGGTGGGGGCTGGGAGGCGGTCCCCTGAATCACATCTTCTCATGCAGCTGGCCTACTTGGGCCAGGCCGGAACCTGTGGCCAGTGGCTGCCATGCTGTGTGGAAAGGGGAGAAAAGGGGGGACACGGAACAGGGTCTAGGCCAGGGTCCCTTAGCCTATTTCTGACTGACTAATGGCCTAAAGCACCCAGTCACCTATCTGAACAGTGTCAGGAGTAAAAGATGAGGGTGGCCTTCCTCTCTTCCTCCATTTGTCACTTAAATATTCTCTGCAAGTAGCTCTCAACTTTCCAAATTAGAGAACAGTGATTTCAGAGCCAAAGGGGCCGGGGCCTGTCAGCACGTACCATCCTCCCTCCCTCCCCGCGCCCCACCAGGCTGGCTAGGAACCAGAGCCCCAAGCCCCAGACCCTGTCTGTTCATCACAATAAATTCACCTAAAAGTTCCTCGTTTAAAGAGCTGTTCAATAATGCATGTTTTCGCACTTTTCTGAATGCTCGGGCTGGGATCGTGGGAAAAACATGTTGCTTAAATGAGGATTTTTCTCCGGCTCTAAATTCATTACAGGTTTCTTCTGGTTTTTAGAAAGATGCTTGTCCTTTTAATTAATCCTATGAGAGTAACCCCGGCGAATGTGTTGGATGCAAAGCCAAGATCTGCGCCGTTTGCAGTGCAGGGTTAAGGGCATCACGGGGGAGGGTGCCAGAACCGCCTTCGCAGTGACCTGGAAGCGGGGACCCCAGTCGGGAGGCCAGCTGGGGGCTGGCTGTGTGGGAGTCAGTCCCTGCCCTCGCCCCTGGCCTGTGAGCTCCAGGCCAGCACAAAGCAAACACTGGCTTCCTCCGGGTACTGACACACCTCTGTGTCCAGCCTCTCTGAAATGATCACCTGGTGCTTTGCAGTTGCTTTTCTGCCATCATCACTGTGACATGATGGACCCCCTGCCCCCTGAAGTCTGGCTGTGCCCGATCTCAAGCCCAGCAAGCCGATGGACTAGGACAGGGCGGTTTCCCCGCCTGGCACTAGGATGCACGGGTGTGGGTGCCCTCCGGCCCTGGTCCTCTGGAGCGCGGACAGCGAGAGCCCCAGCTCAGCCAGTCCCCACAGCCCTTGCGCCGAGTGGGGAGGTGACATGACCGTGGCGGCCAGTCCTCTGGTCCACACCTGTGCGCCTTAGTGCCGCCATTCAGAGAAGAGCCCAGAGGGGTGAGGACTTTCCCCTGCCCCTCTATAAGACCGATCGTCGGGCCCTGCCAAAACTGGAGCCAGTTCTCAGGCATGGCTGGCTGTCCAAGCTCTAGAGCCAGGTCGTTTCAGACAAAATTTTGGATAAACTCCCTGCTTGCCGAAGTCTGGCTCTGCACGACCTCAAGCCCAGGAAGCAAATGGACTAAGTTAACATCAGACAGTCCAGTAGGGGAAGGGCTAAACTGAATGACATGGCTACAGAGACGCACGTGGCTGTCAGTCCTAGAGTACACAGGGCAAACTGAGCTGAGGGACGGGATAAAGGCTGGGCGCGGAGGAGAGAGGAGCGTCTCACGTGACAAGGGAAGGGTGACTTCATATGACAAGACCCTGCCTATAGGTGGATGTCCTACCTTAAAATAGGCTTCTCTAGTGGAAAAAAAAAAAGGGGGGGTGGGAGGGCTATTTCTGGGGATGACCCTAAATCCGGGTCGTCCTCATTCCTTGAGGGAATAGCAACAGTTTCTCTTGAGACCCTCAGGCCCTTAACTGACCTTAGCTCTACCTGCCAAGGTAATACTTGTCGGGAAAAGCCTGTTTGAATGCTTGGGAGGCTGAGCTCAAAGACTGAAACCAGTTCCTGCAGACCTTGCTCATCTAGTAGCCAAAACAGCTAATTCACTGCCTTTGGTTCATCACTTGCTGAAGGGTACAGAATATTTCTATCAGAGAAGCCAAAGGAGGGATTAGGAACTGGAAGACCAGTACGATGAGTGTCCCCTCCACTCCCAAGGCCAGGTGGGGGTACTTCTTCCTCACAGTAAGCTAGAGAGAGGGGCTTCAGGGAAGTTTCCACGTGAGCTGGCCTGAGCTCCTCAGGCTGGAGTCACTGAGCCAGCTGAATGATTTAGTTTGTCATTGTCATTACTAATAGGGTTGTGATACACA